TGTGTTAGAGGTTCATGCACCGGGAACAAAGCTAATATAACCGTGTCAAATACAAAATCAAACCCTCTTTACAAGATTTACAGTATGTCATCTTTTCAACACAGAGCAGCCAGAGCATCAACATAAAAAATGAAGTAACTAGACATTTTTTAATCAATGCTAAAAAGTAAGTGACTGAACCATGTTGGTGTCTAAATTGTAGCTAAAATCTTGGTAGGGGTCAAAATGACCCCTACTAGGAATAATGTCAATATTGTGGACCCCAATGCCATTGATGAGGTGAAAAGATACAAGAAATTCAAGCAAAATTAATTCAGTACATTTATTTATTTTTTCAAATGAGTCATTGCACATTTACTTAAATGCAGAGTTATACTCAATGTAAAGCTTTAGAAAAAACAATCTCAGTCATCTCTGATGTGATTGTGGTTGCTTTATGTGAAACCTTTCAAAAATAAAATACATTAGATGAGAACAAAACCCACTCTAAGAGGTGTCTTTTGACAGATCTGTAATTTAAACAGCAAAAAACAGGGCAGCATAACTGGTCATGTTAAAGATTTAGATCATTCATTCATTTATATTTAGGTAGTGTAACTTTTCAAAATAACATACATTTCCCTTTGCCCGTGTAAACAAAGTGTTTTTTTTTTAACCCCTCTCTTTAAACATTGTAGACTTTGATGTACTGCACTATCATTAAGAGCATAAATTTCCACCAATCTGTTAGCACCTGAATTATCCTAAACCCAGATTTTGAGCTGCAGCTTTCTCTGTGCATCAAACAATCATGTTTCCAGTTCTTCCTTTTGGAAATAGTTTGAAAGGTTTGTAATAACTTTTAAATTTGAAAAATAAGTTGCTGTACACAATACTAGAAACAACATGCTTTTTTCTTATATAGTGTTTAGTCCCGAGTTGAATATTTCCTAGTTTCAAGCAACATCCTTTTTTCTGAGGCACGCAGTCATCAAGGAATAATTCATGGAGCTCTGTGCCCATGGAACTATCTGTGTCTGCTGCAGTGGCGGCCGGCCCATAGGGGGCGCTGGGGCACCGCCCTCCCTGATAAGAAAAGTGAAACGTAAAATATACAAATTAACTCATAAATGTCAGTTTTACTCTCTAGAGTGTGTACCTATAAGCAAAACAAATTATATAAACTACATTTCCCAACCTACTGTCATTTATTTGTGGATTTCCACAGACAGACTCCTACCGTCTATGTCTTGGGGATGATCAGACTGCCCCACATGTGCAGAGAATCTGCCATCATGGGGACTTGTCATCTTCAGTCTGGCGGCGTCTTTGCTGGGTTCAAACCCGAGGCAACGCTCAGTAAGCGGTTAAAACGCCAGAGTTGTTGGAATGCGGAAGTGACGTCACAAACACGTGACTCGCTAAATGTTTGTCAGATTACCGGTATTATTATTATTATTTTTTTTAATGTTTAAAAGTTTGGTGTAATTGAATAAGTCAATGAATCTGTGTAAAGGAATTAAGTTGTAAAAATTATTTGTTTTTGTATATCAATTGTTTGTGGAGGTAATATAGACAAAACGGATTTATGAGAAGAAATCAGAAATAAGAGAGCCTGAGGGGAGGGGCTTAAACTATTTAATGAGGGCTGTGGGAAGAAGAGCGGCCATTTTTGTTTTCTGTTTCTTTGTTACATTGCTGGTAACATGAGGGAGGCTGAGGCCTAGAGTATCTTGTATATGTTTAGTTTCATTTGCACCCTGTTTTGAGTTTTTGAGCACAATAAATCACCAACACCGGTAACCCGACTGAGAGTGGATTCTTGGAGGCCAAAGAAGCCCGTCACAGTGATCAAAATCATCACTGTTACTGTTATTATATAGTATTATATAGTCCAATTGTTTATTTGAATTCTTATTCTGGATTAGTTGGAGACATACACTAGGCTATATCAGCCCTACCAAAAAGATTTTCCACCAGCCGCAACTGGTCTGCTGTTCTTTTCCTTGGCAGAATTAACACAGGCGTTGTGCTTGTTGCTCTGCAGATGATTCCATATCTTCATAAGTTCGTCAGGATGGAACTGATGGGACGTTATCAGGTGGCTGTACTTACAACTGGAATAAGAGACGCGCCAATGGTTGAAGAGGAACTCATTGGGAGGGGGTGTTGGGTCAATGCGTAACTTTGCCAGGCAGATTCCTACATAAACATCCTCCAGGTGCAGTCTGCGTATGCTAAGTGAGGCCTGATAGATCAATTCGGCCAGGTCCCCTGAGAACACATACCCTGTGCCTGAGCAAAATATGGGGTAGCGCTCGCTTG